TAATATATGCATGAATCTATATGTTTGTATGTGTGAATATGTATGTGTTGCTGGATATATGTATATCTATAAAGATATATCCTGGAAAGCACCAACTTAACCAACTTATCAAAGTAAATATCACCAGTTATGGTAAAAATTAAGACGGCCCACTATCTGATAAGATGCAATTGGAACATAGCATTACTTCTGTGATATATCTGTTAAGATGAATTACCTGAACCCAATCATGAGGAAACATTAGACTAATGCAAATTGAGGTACATTCTGTTAATTAAGCGATAATATTATTATTTAAATGCCTAGATCATAACAGTCATAGAAAGAATAATCTCTGGTTCAGACTAAAGGAGACAATGATAAATGACAAATAAAATATAAGATGTGATTCTAAACTGAATTATTTTACTATGAGGCTATTATTCAGAAAATTGATACAGTTTGAATGGGGGTCCACAAATTACATGGTAGCAAGGAAGCCTGTTAATTTGATGTCTCAATGGTTAGATGGTGGTTATTTAGGAGAATATTCTTTTTTGTATGATACACTCAAGTATTAGGGCATCAGGTCAACTACTTATTTTCAAGGAGTTTGGGAAAATACAGCAAATATTTGCAAATCTTTTATTAGTTGGAGATTGTTTTGAAATAAAAAATAAATAACTACTATAGAAAGAATACATTAAAAATAAAAATATAAGAAAACCTAAAAATTCAGAAAGCAGAATCCAAATCTATGAATATTCCTGGTGAACATCTACAATGCTAGAAAAGCTTATTGCTAAAGAGATTCTTCTTGGTAAAAATGACCTTCTATTATGTAAAAATTCAAGTAAGAGATATAACTTAAAAAATAATTGTGAATTATATTTAAGAACAACAGAATCTGGATGAATAGGAATAGTTAAAATGGATGAAGGAAATGCTAACACTTTCCTTGGGGGGAAAAAAAAAAAAAGTACAGGCAGGAAATGAGTAAGTATTAGGTACACATGCTGTTCTGGGGATAGAATGTGCTGCAGCAGAAATGACTTTAAAAACTGAATTTGTGATGTGGGAGAAAGGGATTAATATAGAGAACTATTACAGATGAAAAGACTGAAACCACAAAGATATTGGAAAGAAAACAATGTTATTTCTGGATAAAGGTCATTGGAGATAGAGTGAAAAAAAAATGCAGTCAGTGTTTGGGAGGAAGACATAATCAGGTAATTGCTGAAAGAGTACTTTCTGCCTGGATCCAAATGAGACTCCAGGGTTATCAAAGACCAACTGAGAGCCCAAACAACAGGGTCAAAGGAAAGAAGTAAAAATCTAGGAAAAGCTGGAAATTAGTCTCGTGAAGTAATATTTTCTCATCTATGAATGTACTTTTATAGGTTTCTAATACCAAATGACTCCCAGAAGCTTATATTTCAAGAGGGGGATTGAACAGTTTCCTTTCTCTCTGAAGACATAAAAATTATATTTCCAAATAAAAATGAAACCAAACATTTCACATCAAAGAGAATGGGAGGAAATTTATAAAGACAAAATATAAAAGGAAGAAGAAAGCAAAGCAAAGCCTAAAATAAATGTAGGACTACATGGAGAAGGGAGCTAATATGCTAAGAATGACCCAGGGATCTTAACTTTTTTGTCTGATTCATTTCACTTGGCATGATATTCTCAAGATCCATTCATGTGTTCACAAGTGACAGTATTTCATCTTCTCTTATGGCTGTGGAATATTCCACTGTATACATGTACCACACTACTTTAATTATCTGTTGATTGGCACTTAGGTTGCTTCCATATTTTGTCTATTATAAATAATGCTACAGTGAACATAAGGGTGCACATATCTTTGTGAATAAATGTTTTCAACATTTTCAGGTAGAAATAGGCAGACAGAAAGTTTAATAAACATATGATTTCACTTATATGTGGGATATAAGACTAAAAGCAACAAATGAACAAACGAGACAAACAAAAACTCATAGATACAGACAATAGTATGGTAGTTACCAGAGGGAAAGGGGTAGGGTGTAGTAAAGAGTAAAGGCAGTTAAATAGTGACAGCCCTGGCCAGTTTGGCTCAGCAGTTAGAGCGTCGGCCTGCAGACCAGAGAGTCTCTGGTTCAGTTCCTGCTAAGGGCACGTACCTAGGTTGCAGTTTGTCCCCGGGCCTAGTTGGGGTTGTGTGGGTAGCAACCAGTTGATGTGTCTCTCTCACATCGGTGTTTCTTCTTCTTTCCCTTTTTCTCCCTCCCACTCTATCTGAAGATAAATAGAAAAATATTCTCGGGTTCCTGACAGTACCTCAAAACTAAAGTCTTCTCTGTTTAGGCATCTGGAGGACCTCAGACCAAAGCCTAGTCAATACTTAACGCTCACTGAAAGCAGTGCTCTGGCCAGGGCAATGAGGTCTCTGCCAGGTGTTCCTTTCCAGAGAGAGAAATAGCAGAAAATCATCTCTCTCTACACACCAGACTAAACCTGTCTCAGCACCCAGGCAAATCCACTCAATCCTTCCTGAACTATAGAGTGTTTTTTCTCACACAGTAGAAAACTAGGGGCTTAAAGAGAACTAAGATGAACAGACATAATTGTTCCTGCAAGAAGAAAAGAGAAATGATTGTTCAGAAAGAAAAAACAGAAGAGGTAGAATGTAAGAATGGAGACATTAAATTAGCAGTCTAGTTAGTGCAAAAGAATCTCATGCCTTGTTTCTAAGATGCCTAAACAGAGATCAGATTTCATCAGAAGTAACGAATTTTATTTTGCCTCGAAGAAGTAAAACTGTGCATAAGGATTGTCAAGACAAGGAGCTGCTACTTTTCATCATCAATATTTTTTAGACAATTTAATGTTTGCCAGGTTGAGATACATGGTTTTTACTATTGTCATAAATAAAACAAACAGCTAAAAATACAAAATAGCATCTGCCTATCAACCTGTGATGCCATGACTTCACATGAAAAGAAAATGATTTAGAATAAAGAGGACTATGAAGAGACCATATAATACAATTATAGACTTAAAATGCTCCTAAACATTCCAAAAGTATACAGATTACACTACATAATGTCGAAGGGTAATTTAGAGGACAAATCTAAACAATTCTCCTTAAATATAGAAAGAACAAACAAGAGTGAAGGGTATGAGTGGGAATGTGTTAGACACAGATGCTAGAAGAAAGCAGATTGTTTTTGAAAGAGAAAGAATTGTTTTGGAGAAAGACACAAAGCTGGCATAAGCAATAACTTTATTAAGGACAATCTTCGTAGGAGAATACTGTTTTCCTTCAATTTGTGAAGACACTCACATGCTGAAATTCCTCATTTTTATTTGAATATGACACTCCTTAAAATCATACTATTTTTGCCTAGCCTGTGTGGCTCAGCGGTTGAGTATCGACCCATGCACCAAGAGGTCGCTGGTTTAATTCCTGGTCAGGACACATGCCCAGGTTGTGGGCCCAATCTCCAAGGAGGGCATGCAGGAGGCAGCCAATCCATGTTCTCTCTCATTGATGTTTCTATCTCCCCTTCTCCCTTCCTCTCTCTCTCTAACCTCAATAAAAAAAAAAATTTTTTTAAACTACTATTTTTTTACAATTTGCATGTAGTGTTTTCCTCCTTTGCAGTTAAAAATATTAGTGATCGTCCAGCCGGTGTGGCTCAGTGGTTGAGCGTCGACCCATGCACCAAGAGGTCTCCAGTTCGATTCCTAGTCAGGACACATGCCCAGTATGTGGGCCCGATCCCCGGTGTGGGGCATGCAGGAGGTGGCCAGTCAATGTTCTCTCTCATCGATGTTTCTATCTCTCTCTCTCTCTCTCTCTCTCCCTTCCTCTCTCTCAAAAATCAATAAAGAAAAAAAATTTTTTTTTTAATATTAGTGATCAAAATTCTCTTTTTTTTTCTTTATTGATTTTTAGAGAGAGAGGGAGAGTGAGAGAAAGATAGAAACAAAATGGCAGAGAACATCGACTGGCCGCTTCCTGCATGTCCCCACCGGGGATTTGGCCCACAACCTGGGCATGTGCCCTGACTGGGAATCAAACTGGGACTTCTTGGTGCATGGGTCAACGCTTAACCACTGAGCCACACCAACTGGACTACTGATCAAAATTTTTAAAAACAAATAAATACTTGCAAACCATAATTTAAATGTTGAACTCATTTGTAAATTGAAGCAATTCATAATTTTCTATTCATAAATTATCAACAAATTTTACTCCTATTTTTTCTCCTGCAACCCATTCTTAGTATTTATTAATCCTCTCTAATTAATTCTTATACCACTGTTAAGCAATCATCTTTTTAATCCTATGAGATAAATTTAGGAAAATTAATTATTGTAGAGAATATTGATTTTTTTAGGAGTATAAATAACTGAATTCCATGAAAAAGTGTGTATTCTTATAACTTAATTATATTTAATTAAACACAGTAATATTTAAGAGATATTAAATAAGTAGGGATATAGATTCTTTCACCATAGATTCAATTGCAGGACATATTTCCATTCTGGATTATCCACAAATAACTTGTATCCACATATTACTATACTAAACAGAAAAATAATAAAGACTATTCAAGTTGATAATTACACTCTTTCCTATAAATTTAAGTAAAACATTGGGTAGGTAGAATAGTTTCTTAAATGTTATCAGTGGCTTTTAGTTATCCATACCCTTCTCCAGTACATAAATTCAACAGGTATTTGATTCTCCACAATATGAGAAAGTCCTTCTATGGAGGATTTAAAATATGGGGAGGTTTATTGTCAGCTATAAAGAAGCTTTCATTCCAGTTAGTGAGACTATTCCATTGTAGTTAGTGAGACTATATACACACGCACGTGTATGTGTATATATATATATATAAAATATTCTGAATATATAATGTTCTGAAATAAGCATCAGAATTTTTGGTGGAATCAATTTTTAAAATGTATCTTGCTTAATCATATTTAAAACAGATGTCATATATAGTAGAAAGCAGAACAATTACCTTTAAAATTGGGTCTGATTCTTGCATCATACCCTGATGTCCTCCCCATTAATTTATCCAGAAAATCAGAAGGTGACATTGGAGCATTTCGAGATCTTGCACTATCTGTTTCTTTTGTTGCAACCAAACTACAAATGACAAAAAAACAGAGATTTTACCAAAAAAGTCTTCCTAACCATTGTTACCTACAAATATGAAATTAATATGCTAAGCAAAAAATACCTCTGAAAACAAAAAGAAAAACTTTACATGCTATACAGTGAATGTGATAATGACAGGTACGTATTTTATGGGTTTACAGTCAGTGTTACAAGGTTTCATAAGTTTTTTGCCCAAGGGTCAGAGTTAATATTATTTTCTGTTAAGTCTGGAAACAAAGACAAATGAGTAGGCTTTCAAAATTTGCATGTACCCGAACTTGATTTCTGATTGTAGTTTTTAGCTAAAGTATCTTCAATGATTCAGGCATAAGAAAATATAAAAATTCAACTGTGAAATACAATTCTTATTGCTCTTATTGAGGGAAAAACATTTCTTTTAGGTTCTGTAAATTTTTGTCAACAGTAATAAAACTTCTGTTTGGTAGATTCAACAAGCATGTTCTTTTCTTTAAATTGCCTCTTATATTAGTAACATACCCTGTTAAATATATTCTTTCACTTTGTGTCATTCATCTACTGTACATTTTGTTCAGATCTAACATTTGTTCATCAAGATTGATAAATGACCATAGTTGTGGTATACGCACCTGGATTACTACACAATGAGAACCCGTGTCCAGGTTACTATATTTTTTCACTCATTTTCCTTTTTATGCAACTGCTGATCCTAGAAGCCTAAACATGTAGCTGCACCCCCATCTGATTCTTCATTTATCTAGGTTGGTCCACAGAAGGTCTGGGGCTTCTTACTAACATAAAATGACTCTTTTCATCTACTCTTTGTTTAAGGAAGTGAAGCCAACTTTCCAATCACACGTATTTGAAATGATATATTTAAACCGATGGTACTTCCTGCAGATTGTCAGTCACCACATCCTCCCAGCCCTGTCACTCAACTCAGAGCATTGGCAAACCCTGAAACTTAGTGGTCACTACCTGATCTCAGCAGTATCAAGTTATTAAATTTCTCCTGCCAGAATTAGTTTATATATTTTAAGAGTGTATTTTTTATTGAATTTATTGGGGTGACAATGGTTAATAAAATTATATAGGTTTCAGGTCAGTATTTCTAATAAGTCGTGACAATGGGACTTAGAGCTATCACCATTAAATTGTCTACCACACACATATATTTAGGAATTCATGGGCACAAATTTAAAATTCAATATCAATGATAATGAAGTATGATATTTCTGAAAGCATAATATCACAACTAACAGTACATATTAATTATTGCCCTGTTCTAGAGGCCACTGTGTTAACTACATCACTGCTCAAATAGTGTCTTCCTAAACTCCTTTTTACATTTGTTTTATTGTATCTGTGCTTTAAAGATCCACACTTCTCAGTGCCATTCTGGGGCTGCTCCTCTTCTCTCTGTCTGGATAACTAACTGTATCATTTACTCCCATGGTATCAGATACCTTAATGAAGGACAGCACATAAAATCAAAATTTCTGCTGCATGTCCATATTTTAGGTTACAGGTTGGGACAAAAGTAAGTTTATAGTGGTATGTAAAACAGAGTTTATCCTTGTATTATTATTTAATTGTATAATTTTTCATATGAACAACTGTAAACCTACTTTTGCTCTACCCTGTACAAAAGCTAAATTTTAATAATAATTTCTTGCACTCATATAATACCTACCTTCCAAAACATCTGTCTTTTCCTAATAGCTTTTATTAAACTGATTTTAAAATATTTTTTAAGTGTTCAAACATTAATCTTACAATGGAATAAAAAATATTGTAAAAAAATTACAACTTTCATCTCCTATCAAGAAACCACTGTATCCATTGTAATAAGCCGTTATAAAAGTTTAATATTTGAACTAATGTGAGGAATAAAGTACTGAATGTTTTCCAGCAGTGGAGATGGAGAGGGCCTCTGTATACGCTCTTTCTTTTATTATTGCCACACACTCCAGCAGTGGTAGGAACAGGCGTGCTGGTAGAATATGCGGCTTGTACTTTCTGTAATGTGTCCTCATGTTACTGAAGGACCTCTGGAATTCTGGACACCTACAGGAAGGTCACAGCGTTATACAATCAACATATAAAGAGATGTTCTGTGGTTAATGTGATGTGATCCTACCAATGGATAGTTCTGCACTTGATTTTTTAATATTTTGAAGATAGAGCAGAAACTGTGTGCTGTGTTCTACCTGTTTCTTAGGGATATGCCAAGCGCCTGAGTGGAAGCAAGACCATCCAATATCATCTCTCTGCATCATTAATGAGTAATGAGCCTCTGCCATCAAACACACACACATACACACACACACACACACACACACACACACACACACATTATCTTTGCATTGTTCCAAATATTTCAAAGCCTATTACCAAGCACTTTTTGTTTGCTTTAATATCTCAAATTATTTGAATAACTATATAACAAAAACAAGTTTATTATTGTTTCAATAAGATTAAATAATTCTTGATCTTTTAAGGTTAATAATTTATTGCTATCAATCTTTTTAATCTTTATTTCTTTTGACATATTTAAAAAACAATAATGGAACTAATACAATAATCATGCCCTCCTGAAATTTTATTTGACATTGGTACTTAAAAATTTATATGTATTTTTCAGTTACAGTTGACATTCTATATTATATTACCTTTAGGTGTACAGTATAGTAGTTAGACATTTATATAATTTATGATGTAATCCCTCAATAAGTCTGGTACTCACCTAACACCATATATAGTTACAATATTATTAACTATATTCCTTACGCTGTACTTTACATCCCCATGACTGTTTTGTAACGGCCAAATTGTACTTCTTAATTCTTTCACCTTTTTTACTCAGATCTTCAACACCCCACCCCCTGCCCCTCTGGCAACCATCAGTCTGTTCTCTGTATCTATGAGTTAGACATTAGTACTTTTAAAATTCCATTTGAAATATGCTTTTAGTGCCAAAAATATATTTTCAAATATATTATGCAAAGATCATGACACTGATTCACCAGAAATAGGAATATGTAAAAATTAATTTTATAGGGGGCTAGAATCTTATTATTCATAAGCTCATTCATTTATTTATTTAACAACTATTATTAATGCCTCCAAAGAGCCTGGACTCATGCCTATAATAGTTTGAAAAAAGAAAGGAATTATATATATAACATACCTTCAGTATTTAACCTTATTAAAGGTTAAATAAATATTAAATAACTTTTTAAAGGTTATTATAAAGCCTTTTAATGCTTTGAAATAGTTTCCACTAAAAAATAAATTTTCATTGTTTATGCAATTAATAATTAAAATAAGCTGATAGAAAGCAAACACAACACCTCTTATCACTACCATAGTCTAAGATAAAAGATATATATCACCATTAAATAATCTTAGGAAGGCAAGCCATTTCATCTCACACAACAAAATCTATTAAAATCATGTACTTTCTATAATAAATGTTACATATTTTAGAGTCAAATATAGTATTACCTTTTATTTTTAATGCTAAAAATGAAAAAATTACTGTAAATTTATACTAAATAAGAATTTATGGTTCTTTTGATACATAGTACTTAAAAATTAATAAAATTACACCCTGGCCGGTTTGGCTCAGCCATTGGAGCGTCAGCTTGCGGACCAAAGAGTCCTGGGTTTGGTTCCCGCTAAGGGCATGTACTTCGGTTTCAGTTGATGTTTCTCTCTCTCTCTTTCTGCCTCTCTCCCTCCCACTCTATCTGAAGATAAAATGAAAAAAAAAAAAAAAAGTCCTCGGGTGAGGATAAAAAAAAATTAATAAAATCACAACTATAATTTGATTATTGAGTTGGGAGGAGTGCATAAAATACATACTGAACTGGGATGGAATGAGGATAGGTAACATTATTTTTTAAAATACAATACATAAGCTTTTATAAGCCTTTTATGAACTGAGAAAAGTTCGCTAAAAAATCGTAGTGCTTTTCTATTCCATAAAATTATCCTTTCTTACGTCAAAATGCATTTAAATATCTGTTAAATGTTGAAACAATAAATTAAGGTGAAGAGACTAGCCAAAGAACATATATGTAAATACCTTTAGACATAGACAACAGTGTGGTGAGGGCCAGAGGGATAGGGGGAGAGATGGGGGCTGGGCGGAGGAGGGCAAAGATTTGGAGAGAAATGGGAAAATCTGTAATGGTGTCAACAATAAAAACAAAGTTAATAAAAATAAAGTTAAAAAAACAATAAATTTTGAGTTCTCATATAATTTATTAGGAGCAAAGCACTATGCTGAGGCATACAGGACACAATCTGAAACTTTCATGTGGTCACGGTTCAGTAGATTACTCTGTGTAGTCTCATCTGGGGTCTACAGAAGTATCTATGAGCAGAAGCTGGAAAGTGAGATTACAGTAAAGATAAAAATTGGCTTGCTCCTTTCTTTCTATCACTATGAGCAAAATCTTCACGTTTTATAAGAGGGATTCACCACCAAGCTCTGCAGAATACCTATTATAAATGAGAAAACCCTGACCAGAGAACTATTCCAATTTTCTTTACTAGTTACATTTCCTTCATTGGCACAAGAGTCATCCAATTGCTTCTGGACAATTGATTTTATTTCTAAAGACTTACAATTTTGACTCGAAAGGAAGTACTGTCAGCAAAACAATATTGAGTAATTAATTGGCTAAAAGCATTTCTACATAGTCTATCCCTTCTTTTTCTGAAAGAGGTGGAGGCTGTGCATATGGAAACACTTTCCATCACCTACAACTCCTGCTTTGGTATATTTCTCCTAGAACTTTCTTCCTGTTACTGTATTATCTGATTTTGCATCAAATGAACATTACTAGAAAACAGTCTACAGAGAAGCATAGTGATTTAAGAGAGCTCAGAATAATTTGTACATAAGGCTCTATGTATGACTAACCTGGAATCTTATTCTAATTTTTAAATTCATCTGGACATACACATTCAAACACATTGTTTTATTTATTTTCTTTTTA